AATTGCACGAAACTGTCTAAGGCCAAGCATAACACGAGATTACCCGATAGTCACCTGTTACCTCTAACCAATCAAAATCGTAAAATTTGACTAATCCCGGATCAGTCCGAAAATCAAAACAAATGATTAAACTCGATTATCTCAAAATGAAGTATATGTAAAAATGGGCCCTTTTAATATGGAACACTCCATATATTGTATTATTGTTATGTTTATCAATCAAATAAACAATGCATCCTATTGGTCGATTGTTTTAGGGTTAGATAAATTTCCCAACAAGAACGTGTTTTTTGTAATCACCAATTAAGGTAATCATTGCACAAACGCGTAAAACGTATAATTTGTTCACATACACCTTTCACATACAATGTATATTTTTGATAAATGCTTCAGGTACTTGAAGTTGGCACCTGCCTAAAACAGCTCACTAATGCGTGCAGGATGATATAATTTCAGGGCTAATTTCAGTCAGGTGCAACCTGAAATTCCAACTTTAGCTTTAATAACAACCCGAATCGAAACTTTTTTAGCTACTTTAAATTTTGTAATTTATTTTGTAAATTACAGTAAAAAACAAATCCAAAATGGCTATTATATTAATAAATTCGGTTTATAATTTTAACACCTATGCTACTACGTATAGCAGAAAAAGTGCTTTTTATGCTTACTATTCAAGCTCAATATCTTTTAGTCAATTTTATTTTAGAAAAGTATTAAGATTATTAATTAATTAATGTGACGGATTAAAATGAAAGAAAATTTCTTAGCGTACACGGTGTGTATTGTACACGGATATTAATTTGCAAATCTGTGAAAAAAACAATTTATATAGAACGAAAATTTAAATACTGCCTAAGGTTAGCTTGAGATGTAGGCAGGAAATAGCTTATACCAAAATTTCGCAAGGAATTTTTTTTAATTAATACCCAAAAGGCAGTTTCATAAGCGAAATTTTGAGTTATAGCCGATTTTTTTAAAGAATGCATTAATTTTATGTTACACCTGATCGTGTGATCTGATTGGCTCTCTATATGTCCGTGTTCAAACACACCGTGTACAAATAGAAATTCTCAGATTAAAATAAAATGATAGTGTAAAATAGACAAGCCACCGAAAATACAAATTTTTGGGGTGCACTTTTTTAGCATTTTTTTAGGGTTAGGATTATGGTTTAGGGGCAGGTTTTATAATAAACAAGTATAAGTGGGTTTTAGGGACAAATAGAAACCTCTCATTATGACCCGTGACAATTAATAATATCTACAATAAACTATTCATGAGCATTTATAGTTATTTATTATTTTTTATTTGTGTTATGTTTATTTACTCACGTTTATTTAGTAGTTACGTACGTACGTAAGCATAAACATCATGATTAATTAATATATTTAATATATTATATATTATGTAATACCTTAATTTATTTTTATCTGTTTTAATAAGTATAAAAATTATTGATTATGGGCATTTCTAAGCACTTTTTTTTTAATAACTTTTTTTATCAAATTTATGAAAAAAGTTGCTTAAGAATGCCCTAAGGCTGTTCTAAAATGTAATTGGAATTAAATTAAAAAAAATTCTTTAACAATTTCATGAACCCTTTTTTTATTTAAAAATTCTAATTTTTTTTTAAAATGATTCGCTGAAAATTGGGATCTTTGCTATGAAAAGGACCCTCCGAGGCTATGTTGATTTTGTGAATAAAAAAATTAAATTTGCCAATCATCTAGTTATCCAATTTGAATTATTTTGTGGAGCTAAATAAGCTCTACAAAATAAAAAAAAGATCATTCGAATTGGATAACTAGGTTGGCAAATTTGATTTTTATTCACAAAATCAACATAGCCTCGGAGGGTCATTTTCATAGCAAAGATCCCAATTTATTGTGTAAAATGCGGATTTGAAATTTCTGCTAGTAACCCTATGAAATAGGACCGGATTTTTACTTTAGCAATTGTCAATTTTTCTAGCCGTCTAACAGAAATATCATTTATCCAATATAAATAGACTGATTATATGTCCAGTATAGTGATAGCAGGTATTCGTCTTGTTGAATCCGAATTTGTTAATAGAATCCGGATTCATTTGATCCGAATCGCCTCTAACAAATAGGATCGAAACACTACTGGCGGATCATCAATTAAATAAAATTTTTATTTCTTTTTGTTATTTGTTTATTGTATTTTTTTCTAAGTATTTTATTAACCTGTTTCAAAAGCATTGATTATATATTTCAAAACATTTTTAACTTCACTTTTACTTCTAGTAGTCCTCGTATCTTTTTAAAGATTTCATCATATATTAATCTTCTTATTACTTTTTATTTGTTCCTATCTAAATTCTAGAAAACTTTGTTAAAATTTCTTTAAACTACTCTTTTAAAATCTTGCTTCGAATTTCTAACAATCTATGCCTAGCCAGAGTACTTCTGCTTTTTCCTAGGTTTCTTTATATTTTTTGCACTCTGCAAGATGGTCTTGGCTTTCTTCCTTACATTCACCGTATAATAAAAGCTCTTGTAAATAAATTATATGTAAAATCCTACTATACTTCCTTTTTCTGTAGTGTATTCCCGGGCATAGTATAAGCTTGTTATTTGTGGTACGTAACATTCCGGGTGATTTACAGTATTACCTATTAGTAATAGATTTGTGACTGAGATTTGTGACTTAACCCGGGTTAAAATAAAACGCGACAGGTCACACATTAGTATATAATAATAATAAAGTTTACACAGTTATTTCTGTGTTACTATATCGAGAAGTACGTGGTCGCATAAATCCTAAATCCATTTCAAAAGTTTTCCTCTACGAAGCTTATGGATATTCAAAATATTTGAAGAACAACTTAGAGTTAAGTACCACTAATTATCAATTTATGCCAAGAAAATATAGCATCTATGTGACGGACAGAAGGGAAACAGTCGGTTAAGAAACTGGATTAAAAACTTGCAAATTTTGTTATAGATACGCTTCAGACAATTGATTTATCATTTTAAAATTCCACGAAATACATTTCTAATTAGGCGCAGAAGTGGCTTGGACATGCGATTTGATTGGTAGATTAGTATATTAATCACTATCCCAATACGTAAACACTTTCTCAATTAACGCGAATAACATAAAATTTACGTTCTGATATCTATTAACTATACGTACATACTACATCATTAAGGACCCTGACACAATGAGACATAGAGGTTTCTTCTCATATCTTAATGACAACAGAAGAGTTGTCGTAATAAACAACAACACCAAATTAAAGATCGAATCATTAGGCCAAGGTGTTGCCACAATTTACTTTGTAAATAGGCACAATGATCCTATCCAAATCCCTCGTGGCTTTACTCTCCGGGATACCGTTAGAAACACCAATATACGACCCAGGAACATCAATGGATATGGTAGTTTTTTTATTAATTGGATGAATAGTTATATGTTGTTTTACAATGGCGTTGAAGTTCTTGCTTTACGAACTCCAATGCAACAATCATTGGAGGGTGTAGATTGGTTTGAATATGATGTAGAAATGGTCGACTAGAAATTTTAAAACATATTTGATAAATGTATTGATTGTTCGTTATATCATGTTTTACGCATTTGCAATTAAATGACGTAATTAACAAACTAAACCGATCTTTAAGTTTTATATCATAATATATTTTCAAATCGCTAAGTGAACGAAAAAAATTTAATTTCTAATTCGCCTAAGAAGGATAGTATTTAATATGCACAAATTACTATTAAATTTACCGTATTGGCGCGTAATAACGCACATGCGCGTTATTTCGAAACACACCTTTGCTTGAAATTGCTTTGACTCGAAATAACGCATCCCGAAGTAATGCATCCATTAAATATACATATTCATTAATAAAAAAGTAGGGTAACCCAAATTTGTCAAAATGATTCAAATTACCGCGCATGCGCGTCCCGAAATAGCGCACAGGATTTCAAAATAACGCGCAGATGCGCGTTATTACGCGCCATTACGTTAATATGAAATCTTCTTTTCCTCTATAGCTAACTATTTTTTTATACTATGCTAATATACTCTAAGCTTCTAATTAAAAATGTGAAGAAGACTTTATTAGATATAATATAAAAAAATCATTAAAATTGGCTTTGTATCTATATAAAACTTTTATAATTGTAGAGGAAAAAAGCCTTTCATTACTATATACAAAACATAATAATTTGCACTATAGTAACTATATAAAAATACTATCATTCTTATGTGAATTGCTAATTAAATGCTTTAGATATTCTAATAAACATTTTCCTGTAATAACCAAATTGAGAGTTGGAATATCATTAAGTAATAACAATGATAGCTAGTGTGGACAGGAAATGAAACTGCCACTTTTTTACTAGGGAGAAAGAAAGAAAACTTTCAGTGCTTGCATGGTTGGTGTTGGATCCAGGTATCTGTTTAGTCCATTCAATAACAACGATATCATTTTATGCAGAAATATTAATCCAGTTTCCAACCTTTAGTACTATTCAACTTATCATGATGAATCGATTTTTGCCAAAAATTCAATTTGAACCTTTTCCAACATAACAATTGATAGAAATTAAATTAGTCTGCAAAGTCATGATTGCGACGATTTTCATTAACACGAATTAAAACAATTATTTATGTGATAAGTTAATGCAAAGATAAATATTTAATAAATTTTTAGTTTTGTAAATATGACAATGTCTAAAGCTATTGTTCAATATAAACAATTTTTCATTTTAATAAAAAATTTTCCAATGATATAAAACATTTTCCTATAATGAATTCCGATCTCAAAAAAAAAAAAAAAAGGATCAGGAAATCAATTCATTTTTGACAAGTATTAACATTAAATGTATAATACATTATCTAATAAGGTAAATACAATTAAATAAACATCTCTCAAATGTAAAAAATGTTCTAACAATTTGACAAAATTTAAATCTATGTATGGTTTTGTATTCACTAAAGAAATTATAATTAGGGAATGCGATTTTATTTAATAATTGTTTTCTGGTAATCTTGGTGATGGTGCGCGTTGTAAATCGTGGGTATTGCCAAACCGCATATTATCAAATTGTTCTTGTTGGTAACGGTCATAATCCTGTGGTTGATATCTGCTGTTCGAATAATCGTAATATTGCTGTTGAGGTCCAAGGTCTCCTGAAGCGGTAGAGTGCATTGACATTGCATCTTGGTAATCTCCTTCATAATTGACGTAATTTGACGCGAGTAATGATGCGTTGCTTTGGTCATCACCAGTATAAACTTGATGTGTCAAATGTGATGGACCTTTTTGTTGGTTCGCACGTTCTTGACGTTCTTGGCGTTTATTCCTGCGAAGACGAACACGTTCCCAATCTTCCCAACGTTTCAATGGAACTTTATTAGCATCAAAACTACCTTCTTTTTTACCATGATCATCGCCAGCGGTTTCACCTTCAACTTTTCTGGTTTCACCCCAAGAGAAATCGTCAAAATGCCAATATGCATAAGTTGGTAAAACGAAATTCCATATAGGTAAAGCCAAAAGATAAACAAACATCCATGCGATGTATATTACTTTACGTGTAGTAATTAAAATTAAAATGGCTGGTAAACCAAGAACCATACACAACATCATCAATGGGATTGCTTCAGTAAAATCACTTGGTGGTTTCATGATCATTGCAACAATCAATGCATAAGTTAATATTATAGCTACAGGAAGGACCACGGTACCGATCAATTCCATAAAAACGACAAATTGCATAGAAAAGCAAAAAGTTCCACAAAGATTTCGGACGAGAACAAGTTCCATAAGGTTGTGAATTGTGGAATTAATCCAACGACGTCTTTGAGAGAGTAAAACCCAGAAATCGTCAGGTACTACAGTTTTACAGACTGCTTGTGGACAGAACATCATTTTACGGTGTGGGAAGTTTCGTAACATAAGGGTAGTTAAGAAACGATCTTCACCAAGAAGTAATAAATTCTTTTGATGAAGAGTTTCAACGGTATTTTGAGAATATTCATGAACAATTTCTGGTTTTGTAATAATTGGTACCCAATCATCATCACCTTTACGAGCTTTAAGACGATACATACAGAAACAACCGGGTAAACAAGTAACACCACCAAATACTGATTCAAAACCTTTACCCAAATGATGTGAAATGTAGTATTCAAAAACTTGAATTGCCGTTACCCAAGAATCACGTTTGTTGGCAATTTTCGTTTCTCCACATAAACCCATAATGAAAGGATCATTGTACATACAATTAATCAAAAGTCGAAGTGAATTTGGATATACTTTTGTATCAGCGTCCACCATTAAAACAATTTCGAAAAAGTCGGGAGTTACACCCATCAAATGATGAATTTTTCTAAACAAGTCATAGTCTAAAGCGCACATACGATCATTGTATGTAACACGGCTAAAGAAGTTCATTAAAATTAATTGAGAATCACGCTTTCCTCGGTTACCAGGCTTTGCTTTGCCTTGTTCTTCAGGAGTACCACATTTTACAACAACAACCATAGGAACACGACGATCTTGATAAGGGAAATATCCGGCATAAACTTTGGCCATATTATGTTGTTTAGACCCAGCAGCTACAGCAATATAACTTTGAGGTTGTGGATCAGAGAACTCAGGTTCTATAATTATATAAAAGGTAAGTTTAAAATTGAGTTTTATATAATATATATAATATATATAATATATATATCTATATATATATATATACATATATAAATATAAATATATATATATATATATATATATATATATATATAAATATATATATATATATATATATATATATACAATAATAACAACCCATATAATACTTACCAAGTTCCATTAGACCAACACAAATATCAGGAGTACTTTTTTCGTTACCACTACCAACGATGATACCATCACAAATAAGGAATAATAATTTGCGATCATCAGGATAGGCAGTACCAGCCATTGATTCACAAGTACACCTTATACCAACTTCATCTTCAGAATAACAAGTAACAAGTAAAACAGTAAATAAATCTTTTCCAACATCATCCATCGTCATTCCCTTCCTAACAGTACTAGTTCCAGGAACCCAAGGTTTATTACTATTAGCATCTTTGACTTTTGGTTCAAGAGCAAGACGATGGGAGATAAACCAATCAAAAATACACGCCATAAAAAATCGACATAAGACGATACTCAAAATGACGGTCAATGAAACGTATAAGAAAAGTTCTGAGGTGAAACATCCAATTGTTTGTTTATCAATGTTTCCGGCATAATATTTGTTAACAAGACAATTAACCGCAGCTTTCAGATCGGGTTTACCAAAGAAAAGTCGAGTAGCATCTCTTCCATATTGAGCATGAGGTGAATTTAAGACAGTACGAATGACTATATCCATCGTATCAGTATTATTAGTACTATTAAGTGGTTTTGGATTGGCAGCCATATAATTTTTAAGATTAAGAACATTGCCATCAATAACTAAATAGTGAGATATGTTGCCGACTTGACTCCAATCGAAGCCAACTTTTTTTGTAGTGTTAACAATACCATAAGTACCAAAAGTAGCATTACTAATTGTATCAAGAGGACAAGAACTCGCAGGTACACAAAGTGGCATTGTTACAGCAGCAAATTTTTGGATAGTAGGATCTTGACAACCAGGAATTTTAGAATTATCACGAAAAAAAAAGTTTGTAATATCTTGACTATTTTGTGTCTTTGTTAAATTAGCCCAATCAAAATTTGGAGTACTGTTTGCTTTAGCGTTAGATACATCAAATTGATATCCAAGAATACCCAAATGACCGGGTGCGTCACCATAACGCTTAAATAATTGAGGATTATTTGCTTGATCTGGAGGACATAATACAGCAGCAAAGCCAACAGTTAAGAAGGCAACAGTACTACCCATAACTACGGCGATAAAACATAAGGTAACTTTTTCACGCCAAGCTTGCTGTGATGCTTCATCATGAAGACCACCAATAGAAGATAGAAGCGCTCCAGGAGCCCAGAAAGTGACAATTTTAGAGAAAATTACCCAAACATCAAAGGTTTTTTTTTCTTTACCGGGCAACATAGCCGCAGGCGCTTGATATCTTTCGGGTTTGATGAGTGTTTTCCTGCGGTCGACCGCCGAGAGCCTCGCGGAGCCATAACCCGCTTCCATTTTTGTTAAAAATATAGGTGAATGAATTGATTATATTAATTACGCGTTAATTATGATAAGGGGAATAACGTGAACGGGATAAACTGAAGGTATGAACAAAAAATGTGAATTTTTTTAATTTTTTTTTTATTCGTGGCACGGACGGAAAGAGAAATGATAGAAATGATGAAGAGAGAGAGAGAGAGAGAGAGAGAGAGAAGAGAGAAGAGAGAAGAGGGGAAATGGTAAGCGGACAAAAGAAAAGGAATGTTGATAACGGGAAGGGAATGGTGGACGGGAATACCAACAAGGCTATCCGAAACACAAGTTGGAGGAAGTTTATTTTTTTTTTTTTTTTTACTGTACAAGCAAGATAGATGAAGAGCGATGTTATAAACTTTTGCACCTTTATCAAAATTGATGTGTAACTGTTGTGCAACCGTTAATTTTAATTAAATTTATAAAAATAATTTCAGCATGAATATTGATACGTAGCTATATGCGAGGTATAAATTGTATGCATTGTATTCAATACAAATGTAGTTAAACGCATTTTATAACCAACCATTCTAATTATCTAACAATTTCTGAACATGTCCTTGTAAATTTTTTTGCTTCGAGAATGAAGTCGTAACCGGGTTCGTAAAAATACTAAAAATAAACTGCCAACACCTGATTTGTTCACAGGCGCAGAAATGATCCGCATGATCTATGTCGAAGATATTACTATAACCATTTACTATAACTATTATTGGTACAGTTCATAACAAATTTGTTGGAAGACTTTATAACTTATTAAGGTTCAGTATTGGTCCTCCAAAAAAACCCAGAGCCGCATGCATTTAGGAATAAGCATCCTATCAAAAATTAATTGATGTTCAAGATTTTATTATGCTACCGGAAAATACCCAACTCACTTTACCCTTACTTGCGAAAATGTACTTAGCCGTAACTAACGTAAACCATCCAGATATATTTTATTTTACCACAAGTTAACTTCAAACCATAGGAGAATATTTTTTCTTGGCGTTAGTGTAATCAAGATAGTTAGGACTAACGAAAGAACTATTGTGTTATATTATAATACTGTCTTTATTGTTACATACTGTCTTTATTGTTACTGTATCACAACTGTTTTCATAATACCAAGTCTCTTAAACTACGTCACTATCTTCGAAACTTAATAAAGAGATTCTAAAGAGATTCTAAAGAGATTCTAAAGAGATTCTAAAGAGATTTCGAAAAACATTAAATTTTAAACTGTTCAAGTACAGTATTATGAAAACAACTGCAAAGCAAGTATATTCTCTAACGATATGCATACATGCTGTTCAGGACGATCTCTGACAAAAAAATACTGTACTCACAATAAATAATAGAGCAATCATAAAGTAATTTCGGGATCCACCCACTTTTCGCTCGAGTAAACTCTTGGAAAGTTACACAAATGACACTATACATTCGCTATGCGTTCCATCCTTCGAATCTGTGGTTTATTTCGACGTATCAAATTATTGTAATTTTTAATTAATGATCTCGCATAACTGTTCTACTGTTCTACTTTTCTACTGCATAATTTTTTCTTGTTTCTTAAATTAACTCGAATTAATAACATTTATTAAACTCTATTTCCACATGTCAATCAAATGCTGTTTAAAGTCCCAGATCGGTTGTGACCATGTTATTAACGTGCTACCCATTTTCAATTTTAAAACGTACATTTGTACACAATTTAGGTTAGCATTAATTTACTCGATTTACGCATTTTACACCAGATTTAGTTTAGTAATATTTATTATACGTATAACGATCATTTATTTTTATTTATTAATATAAATATGTTTAACAATAATTGTAGTACTATGATTTAATACATTTTTAATATCGGCATATCGCTGTCTGGTATTGTTCTATTACGTACGTACGTTGTATAACTTGTAAACATTTAATTGTCACACAAGATCCCGCATCTAAAATTTTTACTGTTATCATATGATTTAAATAAATAACATGAAACGAAAAATTTATTTAAAAATCTTGGTAAATATCTTGGCTAAATCATAAACTTTAGTAGGATTCTTAAAAGGCAATTTTGTGGTTGCATATAAAAACAATTGATATTTAGTCTATTTATTCTTCATCACAAGTCTTTCGTGCCCTACAGCCTGCTAGAATTGACTTAACTAATATGAGAAATGGTCATCGCAAAGAAGTAAGTTACACATAAAATAGGTGAATTCCCCAATCATACTCCAGGCATCGCAAAATCATACGTATGCTAGTAATCTACACTGTTCTTCAATATGTTATCTAGGAGAGAATGCTGAAAATTAAATTGTTTGCCTGTTATAAAGGATCTCTAATTCTTTATTAGCTAATTCTTTATTAGTTTTATTAGTAAAATACATTTGAAAACAAAGTTACCTCGGTAAAAGATGTATGACAACAGTCTGGAATTTTCTTGGCGTTATTTAATCGAATAAATCTCTAACATTGGCTAGATATTCATCTACTGCAGGTGATGAAGAACCAATTGTACGGAAGCCTAATGTTGAAAGTAACACCCCGATAAAATGGCATGTTTTGAGTCAATCCTACCTATTTTTATTCGGAATTCAATCTATAATAATAACCAGGGTTGTAAAATTACCCTACAGTATGTTACCAATAAGTTACCGTACCATAATAAGTTACCAAGTACCAAAAAATGATACTGGTACGTAACTTACCATGGTAACTTACAACCCACTAACAGCTCTGTCTATAATGTAAATATAACATATGCTGTGCCTCAGATGCACCTTGCATCAGATAACGCTCGGTCTGAATCAGGATTAGGGTTAAGGTAAAAAATTACGGTATAATTTAGGCCAATTATTGATGATCATTCAATCTCACACTCAAGTGTTAACCGCCAAATTTCGCTATCGGGCCAAGATCAGGTGTAACATAGAATCAAAACAAAAATATCCCAAACCCTAATCCTAGCTAGGGTTGTAAAATGGTTCTCATGTAATGGAATTGCTATCGGCACAGCAAAACACGTGACATAATTCCTAATTCTGCTATATTCTAACTAACCTTAAATATAGTGCTGGTTATGCTGTGTCGTTAAGATTAGTGCTGGTCTCTTGCTGTGTCGATAAGCACGTGATTTGCTGTGTCGGCCTTCATGTAATTTTGTTAAAATCGTGATTATCGATCATATGATTCATGTAATTATATTTGCACCGGTATGACCATGGTTATATAATCATGTGACTTTTGGTCATAAGTCATATTGGTCATATCAATTATTAGTAAAAGTTTTTTTTTACTATGAATCTTATTGTCATAAAGTCATATCAACCTTCGTTATGACCAAATGAACTATGACAGGTCATAAAGGTCATATAGGTCATTTAAGGTCATCGGCCAACACTGAACTTTATACAGTCTATTGTAGTTCAATAATGCTAGTTGTTTTTCATAGTGCTAGTTAGATGACTGCATTGGGTCCCAGAGTAGATTAGAGGGTCCACCAAAATTCAGCAAATCGGCCCGAATTTGGGTCGGAATAGGCCGGAATTAATAAATTTTTTCTAAAATCACCCCAAAGTTTACTAATAAAGTGGCAGCCTATGCACTAAGTAAAGCTGCCCAAATAATAATTTTGCTATAATATAGTCTGCCGGTATTATTGCTTAATGCCACTTTGCTCCGGCCCCGATTTGCTGAATTTTGGTGGACCCACCGCAAATTTTTACGGGCCGGGCCGGGCCTGAGCAAAATTTTTATAATTGCGGGACGGGCCGGGCCTAAATTTTATTATTGTGGGCCGGGCCGGGCGTGCCAAACTAATAATTTATTATATAAATATAAATAATTAATAAAAATATAACTTTGAAGATTAAAAAAAAAAAAAAAATTATATAAAAAATTTTGGGAGAATTTAGATATAGCCACGGCTACATGTAGCCTATACTATATATAATATATATTTACCATATATAATTTATATTAACTTATATAACTTACTATATATATATATATATATTTGTTTGTTTGTTATATACAAACGAACTAGCATGCTATATAATTATAACTTGCTAAAGCTAATTTATTTATTATTATTTAATCTACCAATTTACTAAAGGCTAACTTGTTAACTATTATATAACCCGCTATAACACTATATACTATACTATATATATAATTACTATATAACACACTATATATACTAATTTATATAGCTTGTTACATACTAACTTGCCAATTACTTTCACTATATACTTAACTTGTTAACTTGCTAACACTAATTTACTAATTAACTTTCTAACCCTAAACTTAACTTTATTCTCATACTAACTTGCTAACTGTTATTTACTATTGTCATCTATCGATATAAAGGAAATCTGGGCTGGCCAAAAAATTCTGTTATATAGCATATTCGTTATACATATATAACCTATATAACGAAATGAATAACAGAGTTAGGCTGAATTTCGTTATAATGATATGTAGTGATAGTTAAAAAAAAAAAATCCAATTTTTTTTTTACACTCTAATTGGTCGTAAGTTGTTACATTATATTGAATCTATAATACCGTTATACATAATACAGCCTTTTACTATTAAATCTGTTATAACAGTTTAAATTATATATTAAAAATTCTGTACTTTGTAATTGATCTGTTAAACTG